ATTCAAGCCGCCGTCCCCTTCTCCTTTCCGAAGCCCATGCGGTCCCGGCCTAGGGCCGCCGCGCTCCGCTTCCACCGTACGCCCCGAATCCCCACGCAGCAGTCCCAGCCGCCGAGACTCCAGGGAGCCGAGATGCGAGCGAGGGCGGCGCCCCTTACCTTAGCTCCCCCGGGTTGAATCGCTCACCGTCTCCCCCGTCCCCGCCACGCTCCGCCATTACAGATGGCCGCGTTCATCCACCCGCCGACCCGGCGTCCCCTATTGGCCGGAAAAATCGTCAATCCTGTGCGAGACAGGCGGGAATAGCCGAGGTCTGTGGTGTGATTGGTGAAGCTTTCCATCAATCTTCGCGTTGGGGGCAGCATCTGCAATACTATTGGGCGAAGGGCCCGCCGACTTTGAAAGCGGTATGGAGACAGCCAGCTGATTGGTCGCTTGGAGGCTTTATGGGAAATGAGACTTTAGCAACGAGGAACCGCCGGCGCCCTCTCGCGGTAAGCAAAACTGGGTCCTCCTACCTCCGGCCCAGCCCGCGGCGGCCACGTGTCTGCCGGCTTCCAGGACGGCGGGTTGTGGAGCCATGTTGGCCAGTAGCAGCTCAGGCCGAGACTGTGTCCGTGCGGTGAGCCAATCAAAATCGACCTGGGTCGCGCCTAGGCCAGTCACAGAGTTGCTGTGGCAAGCAGCTCTCTCCGAGCGCTGCGGCAACCGGGTGTTGAGTCGCAGCTGGACTCGTTATGCGTGTTATTAAATCATATATTAATTGTAGAATCTAGCATTCTATAATTATTTTGTATTATTCAAGAATGCCTCCCAAAGTGTACCAAGTAGTTATAGGGGTCATAAGTTGCTGCATTGAGAAAGGTGAATTGAAGAAGGAAGCCTCTTGAGGGCTTTGGCATCTCTCCTTTAAAATCTCCAAATGCGCTTGCCTGAAATTACCGAACTCTGATACCCAGACAATGCTTAACATTTATTTTGTTTTATAATTAAAGAAAAAAAAAAGTGGGGCGGGCACGATGGCTCGTGCCTGTAACCTCAGGACTTTGAGAGGCCAGGGTGGGAGAATTGCTTGCGCCCAGGAGTTGGAGTCCTGGAGTTCAAGACCAGCATAGGTAACGTAGAGAGACCACGCCCCTACCAAAAAAAAAAAAAAAATTAGCCGGGTGTGGTGGCACGCGCCTGTGGTCTCAGCTGCTCTGGTGACTGAGGCGGAAGGATGGCCTGATCTCAGCAAGTCGAGACTGCAGTGAGCCTTAATTGTTTTACTGCACTCCAGCCTAGGCGACTGAAACCCCAACTAAAATGAAAATAAGTTTAAACGTTGGGGTCTCAAAGGCACAGTGAAGATGAACTCTATCATTAAAGAGCTCAAATATATTTAAATAATACGAATACATAAATTTTACTTGGACCTGATCATGTATACCAGGCATAACTCTAAGTACTTCCTGTGTATGATCTCTTTTAAACCTCAGAAATCACGAGGTGGGTAACAAATAGTCACAGTTTATAGATGAGATTGGGGCACAAAGAAGTTAAGTAACTTCCAAGGTCACACAGCTAGTAAATGGCAGAGGCTGGCCTTAAACCCAGCGTGGTAGCAACGCCCCATTCTTAAACACTATGCACCAAAATAATTGGATCCACGCAGAAACATGTTCATAATGTTCATAGCAGCATTATTGATAATAGCCAAAAAGTAGAGATTGCCTAACATCTGTGAACTGATGAATGGTTAAAAAATGTGGTGTAACCATGCAATGAAGTATTATTCAGCCTTAAAAAGAAGTACTGAGACATGCTAAAACATGGAGGAACCTTGAAAACTTTATACTAAGTGAAAAAAAGCAAGGTCCAAAAGGCCACATACTGTGTGATTTCATTTATATGACATGTCCAGGCAAATCCGTAGAGACAAAGTAGAATGGTGGTCTCCAGGAATAGAGGGAAATGAGGAATTGAGAGTGATTGCAAATGGATGTGAGGTTTCTTGGATGATGAAAATGTTCTGGTACTAGATAGAATGTTCTGGAGTAGATAGCTCATTGAGTTGTACACTTAAAGGGTGAATTTTATTGTATGTGAATTATATTTTAACTTTTAAAAAAACGCGGTTCTATACGGAATCCCAGTTAAATATTCAAAATCAATTGAATATGATGGATTGTGATAAGGGCTCAACACAGAGTTCTGAGCATGATTAATTGAAGAAGGAAGGATGAAGATATGACATTTGGGCTGGGCGCAGTGGCTCACACCTATAATCCTAACACTTTGGGAGGCTGAGGTGAGAGGATTGCCTGAGCCTAAGGGTTCAAGACAAGCCTGGGCAACTTAGCGAGACTTATCTCTACAGTCAATCAAAAAATTAGCTGGTTGTGGTGGCGCACGCCTGTAGTCCCAGCTACTTGGAAGGCTGAGGTGGAAGGATCACCTGAGCCCAACAGGTCGAGGCTGCAGTGGCTGTGAGTATGCCACTGCACTCCAGCTTGAGTGACAGAGTGGGACTCCAACTCAAAAAAAAAGATGGGGCCTTTGAACAAACTAGAGCTTGACTAAATGGCAGATATATCCCTTTTCAACATCAGCATGCATCCCCAATTCTGGCCAACTATTCTGAAAATAAGACTTGTATAGGCAGCTAATTACAAATGAATTTCTACTGGAAAAAAATAACTCAAAATGGATACCTTATAGAGAGAAGAAAATGAGTACCCCACATCTTTAAAACAAAATAAATAAATGAATAAACAGAAAAAAGAAAGTAGAAAATGGGTCACTGGCATATAAAAAAAGATCAAAACAAACTGTCATCTGAAAGATGATAACCAAAAGTTTGATTTTCTGATGGTTTTTATTATGTTATTTATATCTAAATACACTCTAAGATATTTATATTATTTTAAGTAGGTTACGTATATAGCCATATGCATACATATCATACATATGATATTAATACAAATGGACTTTCTTGTAGTCAAGCTTGATAACCTTTAGGGTGCTGATACTGTATATAATTGTACAGAACAAAATAGCCAATACTATCCTTGCCCCATTGGCAACAACTGGGTTATAGACCTCCAAACAGAATGTCAAAGTGAGGTAAAGAGACAGTGTTAAAACAATTTAATATCATCAGGGCTTAAGTCCTGCTATGAAGACACTCATCAGAAGTGACTCAAGAAGTGGATCCAATGCAGGATCAGGGTTTTCTCTTAAAAACTACCATTTTTGGCTGGGCACAGTGGCTCACACCTGTAATTCCAGCACTTTGAGAGGCCGAGGTGAGAGGGTTGCCTGAACTCAGGGGTTCGAGACTAGCCTGAGCAACATGGCAAGACCTCGCCTCTACAATAAAATAAAATTTAAAAATCAACCAAGAGTGGTGATGCATGCCTGTGGTTCCAGCTACTTGGAAGGCTGAGGCGGAAGATTTCCCTGAGCCCAGCAAGTCGAAGTTGCTGTGGCCGTGAGCACGCTACTGCACTCCAGCCCAAATGACAGAGTGAGACTCCTTCTCAGAAAACAAACAAACAAAAAAACCTACCATTTTTGAGCACCTAAACCCGTTTGAGCATCTTAAACCCGTGGGAGGTATTTTGCATACATTATTTCTAATCCTTTCAATAGCCCTGCAAGACAGATATATTGTTCCCATTTTACAAATGTGGAAGCCGAGGCTCAGAGAGGTTATAAGACTGATGCAAGGTAACACTCACATACTGAAAAGAGGAGAAACCAGGATTCAAGCACAAATGTGTCTCATGCCAAAGCCAGCTAGGAACCACTGAAACCTGAGCCTCACCCAAATCAGGAAGGTAGCATGATTAATAAGTCATTTATTCTTCTTGTAAATACTTTAAAAGACCTTGTTTTCCTTGCTGAATCCCCAGCACCTAATAAGGTATTTATTAGCCCATAAGGACAATGTCCTACCGTACTGTGCAGCTATATTGAACTGGAAAAATTGATCTTTGAAACGCTTGACAAGATCTCAGAATGGAGAGTCCCAGACTGGACACACCTGCTAGCTACCTCGCAGGCTGCATGGATAGCAGTTGCTCACAGGCTTTGAGATAAATTACATCAGGATTCTAGTCCTGGCTCTACTGACTATTGACTGTATAATCTTGGGCACGTTACTTGATTTCTCATAGCTCCAACTTATTTATTTGGAAACAAAGAGTTGCTGTGAGGTTTCATAAGTAAACTATAAACAGGCAGCAACTAAAAATCATCAATAAGTAATACTTGTTTACAGAGTCAAAGAGTTGATTTGGGGATGCTATGGACTGAATGTTCACATGTTGAAATTCTTACTTCCAAAGTGATTGTATCAGGAGGTGGGGGCCTTTGGAAGGTGATTAGATCATGAAGGTGGAGCACTTATGAAGGGGATTAGTGCCCTTTTAAGAGACCTCTCTCCCCTTCTCAGTGTAGTTAAGAGTGAGAAGTTTTTCTGTGAGGAAGCTGGTTTTCATCAGACACCAGAGCTGCCAGCACCTTGATCTTGGATTTCTCAGCCTTTACAATTGTGAGAAATAAATTTTTGTTGTTTATTAACTGCCCAGTCTATGGTGTTTTGTTACACCAGCGTGAATGGACTAAGAAAGGACATTTTGCTAGCTAGTACTTTACTAAAAGGTCAAAATCAAGACAGTGCCCAGCTTTTTGAACATGTGTAAGTGAAGACAAGGAGATAGCCAAGGAACTAGAATTAGGTAAACAGAATTACTCCATGAATCAGAAATGCAATGCTAAATCAACATATAGGATAATAGCAGAATAAAATAACAGTAGTTTATATTTCCTAAGCCCCTAGTATGCCAAGCATGTTACATAAGCATCATAATATTTAGCTGTCATACCCTACGTGCTGGGCACTGTTTTAAGCAAATTCGATGTATTAACACATTGGAGCCATTATAAATATCCTGTGAGGTAAGCACTGTTATTATTCTTATTTTACAGATAACAAAGGTACAGAGAGATTAAGTACTGCACCCCACATCACACAACTATTGAGTGACAAAACTGAAATTCCAAACTAGGCTGCCAAGTTCCAGAGTCCATGTACATAATCAATATGCTCTGCTCCCCATCAACAGTAGAGGATAAAGGCTCCCTGGGCTGCCCTACGCTGTATGGGTGTCTGACATCAGTGGACATCACCTCTCCAGACGGCCTCAACTGCATCCAACTTCAAACCATCACCTCATCAGCCTGTAACTTACAGAATTTAGAACGATAAGTTCTCACCCCCCAGCCCCTAATCTCCATTGGACCTAAGGATGTGAAAGAACTCAGAACTCATTGTCAAATGTTTGGCCATTATGTGGTATCAGCATATGGGCTGCCTGGATGGGGTTGAAAATCCTGAACTGAAGTCAGTGCATCTTTATGAGTCTATTGAGTGCAAAGACATGTCTTCAACTAGAAATAGCAGAAGACAGAGCATTTGCATTCTATTCACTCCCCCACCC